CTGGATACCTGATACTTACCTCTGCAACTCCTCTGCTTCCAGGTCCCGCTTCTCACTTCCCTCTCCCTGTGTAAATAAACAAACCACTTTATTATTATTCAAGTTTTGGTCTCCTGAGTTGTTCTTGGTATTTGCTCACGTTGACTCTTGTAAAATCCTGATACGGTGAGTCGCCTGTTCACCTGAGAGCCATGTTTAAAACTTTGCCCCTCACTACAATCAACTGTGTTAGAAAGATATCATATGAATGAACTGGGTGGCTTTTCTTTGCTATGTTTTTATTTTCATGTTTTGGCTTCAGATTCAGTTTTTTTTTTTTTGAGTGCACGTGAGATTAAAAGCTAAACTTGCACTCAGAGTGAAGTTTTGTCACGTTTGGTTTGAAAGATGTTGTGGTTTGTTTACTCCTGTAGTTCCTGCCCCACGCTCAGTCACTGTTCAAAGTTTTATATATTTTCAGGAGGAAACAGTTTTTGAAACAAATTCAAAATAAATGTGACTGCCAACTGTAATAAATCAATAAAAGACAAGAAAAACACCTGATGAACCACTGATTATTAGTTTGACATTTGCCAGCTGACCATAGAAAACACAAAAATCACCATAACTTATTGAATTTTACAGATATTTCGTGTAGAAGCAGTTGTCAGTCATTCATAACACAACCTAACAACTCACATAAGAACAAATCATCAGCTTGTGTAACATTTTTTTCAAGGTTTGAACAAAATGTTTCTATCATTAGTTCTCAACTAAGATGATTTTCTGCTAAAACTCTGGTGTTAAAGGCAGCGAGTGACACAAGGTCCTTCAAGCAATGTTGGACCTTTAATGATAAATTGTGGACAAAACATCCGAGTCCACTCAGAGAACATATTTATTAGTTAGCAGGCACGTTTCTGAGTCTTTCAGCTGATGATCTGAATAAACGTTGAACTGAACTAAATGGGTTGAATGCGACCTCACATGGTGCTGAGGAGCTCACAGAGGAACATTCCTCAAGTGTTTGTTTCAGTTTCAGCTGCTGCTCCTCCTGACCTGTCAGCCTTTATTTTAACTCAGAATCTTTTAAAGACAACTGGTGCTGCTCTGAGTAACACACACACACACACACACACACACTGGACCAACATCTATAAAGAAACCAGAAACTTGTGACATGTTCATTCATCTGTTCTCGCCTGCAAGCATCAAGAAGGAATCAGCTGCTGGGAAAAATGTCAGAGTAAGTTCTGATTCAGTGCTGGGCTTTCTCCATTTAAAACCTAAGAAGAAACTTTTCTGCTTGTTTTTGTTGCGTTTTTTTTTTTTTTTTCAGGAAAAAGATGTCGCAGAGTCGGAAGAATCATCTAAAGGTAGATTTAATAGTTTGTTAATGTTAAGTTCTTGATATTAAAACAAAGGAAAAACAGATTCATTTGCAGAAACAACAAAATAAGGTTAGAAAAATCATAAAACCGTTTCTCCCATTACACTTGTTTGGACGCACGTCTTTGCTCCTTTAGCTTTAAATACCAAATATCATTTTTATAGTTGGTATTTATTTCATTGGTCAAATAATTTGAGCAGAATGGAGAGACCTCAGTATTGGATTTTAAATTTTATTTTGTACAAGGAAATGTAACATAATATTGTTCATGTTGTAAAGGCACATTTGAAACAATCATTTATTACAAGAATAAAAACACATGACATCTGTCTGTCAAACTGTCTATTTTTATATTTTAGTCAAATTTCCATCAAAATATCAAAAATATCTTCATCTTTTGAGAGAATGAACTTAATATTTTCTTAATATCAATTATTTTTAAATCTGAAAAGCCAAGAAACAAAAACATCAGTCAGGACTGAATACAACCAGAGTTTTGATTGTTTTAACTGTTTTTTATGAGGTCAAAAGTCTAAAGCTCCTCCTCCTCGCAGAGTTTGCTGCTGCAGATAGGAAAGAGCATGCTGGAAGAAGAAGCTCAGGAGGCTGAAAAGGAGAAAAGGAAATATATGGAGGAAAACTGCCCCACCCTGTCCATCCCTCAGTCCACCCAGGAGCTCCAGGTAAACCCCCAACACCAAAACACGAGAGGCTTCAAGTCAAAAGCTTTGTTAGGGCTTATAAATATAAATGTATACAGATTAGATTAATAAACTTTAACTCCACATCATAATGGTCACTAAACTCACAAGATTTTTGTCAAAGTTAACAAAAATAGGGTAAAGATTAGAACTTATAAGGGTCCACACTTAATGCAAACAAAGCACTTACTTTACCTAACAAATCTGAAATATACTATATATAAGTACCAGTACATTAGTTCTTCATCCCAAAGCTTCTTTATGAACAGTAACATTGTTGGCTTATTTTAAGTCAGTCCAGCTGTTTTCACAAATAGAGTAGATAAACTCCACAACATGTGGTTACAAAGTTTTAATTTAAAAACACAAAGACCACATATATAAGACAAAGGTTTTGTTTCTTCCTTTGACTGGTTTTTGTGATGTTGCAAACTCTCAGGAGCTGTGCCACCAGCTTTACAAGCAGATTGATTTGGTGGACGAGGAGCGATACGACATGGAGATCAAAGTGAAAAAATGCAACAAGGAGGTTTGCCTTTAAATAAATTACCTTATCTAATTAGAAGAATTTTTAATTTTTGTTTTAAAACTGATTTGTTTTGTACTTACCCTTTTGTGCTTAATTCCAAAAGAAAAAAGCACAATATAAAACTGAAGGAGTACAAATATTATCTATGCGCTTTCACCTTTTTAGCTTTGAACAGAAAACTGGTTTTCAGTTAAAGACATTCCTGAATAACAGCAACCTCTGTGTCAGATCGACGACCTGAAGATTAAGGTTCAGGATCTGAACGGGAGGTTTAAGAAGCCGGCCCTGAAGAGGGTGCGCATGTCAGCTGAAGCCATGCTTGCCGCTCTGCTGGGCTCCAAACATAAAGTATCCTTAGACCTCAGAGCCAACCTGAAGCAGGTCAAGAAGGAGGTGAAAGAGGAGGTGAGATCTGAGCTCAGACATCTGAGGAGAGTCAGAGTCACTAAAAGACTTGTTGGCAATTACACCAAAATCAGATTAAATCAAATAATAATAATTTCCTACCTGAACGTTGTGCTTCTTTCCTGTCAGGAGAAGCAGACGGGCGACTGGAGGAAGAACGTTGAAGACAAGGCTGGGATGGACGGCAGAAAGAAAATGTTTGAGACAGAGGCTGTTGGTTTTTAAATAAATTTGTGATTTGAATCCACGTTGTTGTTAATTAATATGATAAAAATCTAGGTTTTAAAGCAGGAAACAAAAAAAATCCAATTGTTTTAAACATCTTTGCATTGCATCTAAGATAACAACAGCAACATGTTCATGATCTGTACATGAAAAGAATAATCTAAAGAAGAAAGCAGCAGATTGCGTTGAATCACTTCATCACAGTCTCTCATCCTGAGCAAACGGTGGAGAGGAAAAACTCCCTGCTAATCAGGAAGAAACCTCCAGCAGAACCAGGCTCAGGACAGGTGGCCATCTGCCTCGACCGGCTGGTTTGATGGACAGGAAAGAGAAACAGATAAACACAGAAGAACCGGTCCGGGACTGGTCCAGGTGCACCTTCTTTTGGAAGAGACAAAGAAAAAACATGATAGAAATAATTACAATAAACATGTAGAGAAGAATATAGATGACAGCAGAGTGAGGAAATGTGCTCAGTTTGTGCTTCAGCAGTCTAAGTCTATAGCAGCAGAAATGAAGAATAATTCAGGAAAACTAAGTCTAATTATAGGATTTATCAAAAAGGAAAGCCTTCAGTCTAATCTTAAAAGTAGACAGAGTGTCAGCCTCATGGACAGAAACTGAAGTTGGTTCCACAAGAGAGGAGCTTGATAACTGAAAGCTCTGCCTCCCATTCTACTTTTAGAAACTC